ATTTAACTGCAATTTCATAATATCTGCATTTCTCTAAATACATATTTTTCACCATATTCTCTAATATTGCAGTTTTATTTTCAAAAGGATATAAAATAAAATTAGAATGTAATTATCATTATTGTTTAATTTTACAGCAGACAGGAGTTTCAGAAAATTTCCCAATCGAAAATTATCTTAGGCACTAAATATTTTAAATATGCCATTAAAAAAATTAATTCTAAATTAATATTTAAAATAAATATTTGAGTTTTTACCATTTTAAACTTTTCCCCCATAATTTAATTAATTTCCAATTAGTTTTCCAATTGTCTTTCTAACTATCTATTTTCCTCCAAAAAGAAGGGAAAATTGGAGCTTGCGCTTTTTGAATGGAAAGAAGGCTTATCAGAAAGATAAAAAGTGAAAACGAATTCATTGAAACAGAGAATCTAAATTATTGAACAAAAATATTACTAATCTCTTCTATTACTCATCTCTACGACTTTGAAACACGTATTCTGACCATGGTTGATTTTTACACCACTAAATGGCGCCACTAGAGCTATGGTGACGTTAAAACTCAAATAGATTATTTAACACCCATCTCGCGTAGCGCGGCGTAGCCTTGTGATTAACGATCTTGCATCATCCGTCAACCCTAAGGACGCGGGTTTGAATCCCGGCCAGGATGAGCGTAAAGTTTTGTCACAATCTGAATCGACATCGTACAAGTAAGTTGAATCACAAATTATATTAATAATAATGATAATTAGGTTAATAAATTAATAATTACATTAATTGAAATTAATAAATAAGCCTTGACTGTAGAAAAATCTGAAGGTATCTGGAAAATATTTTTCTTCAGATATTCTACATTTTTTTTCTGCAGAAAATCTGAAGGTATTTGGAACATAGTCTTCTTCAGATATTCTACATTTTTTTCTGCAGAAAATCTGAAGAAAACCTTCAGATTTTCTGCAGATTTTTTTTTAGATGGGGGAAGACGCCTATAAGGAGGGAGGGGGATAAAGACCAAGTAAATATCTGTTGTGCCTTCAGAAAAGAGAGGAAGAGACCGGAGATAAGCGTCATTTGAGCCAAAAAAGAAAGCTGTGATCTCTTTCATATTCAAGTTCATCGAATTTCACTACTGACGGAATAAGACTCAAGTGAGAAATTACCACAGCAGTTAACTAAAGATAAAAAAAAATATGGCTTATTTACAACCCCAGTACCAAAGACGAGTCAAGTTTCTGGTACTTCAAAAACCTATTCAACACCAGAGCCAATAGTGGGTTTGTTCTCCTAGTGCTTATGTTCGTTCTAAATGCTTTGAAATGAAAAGATCAAAGCAGCTAAGATTGACGAAGAGAAGGAGACATTTATAATTGAATTCAAATACATGAAAAGCGAGCCGCGGATTTTTTTAATCTCTCTGAAGAGAAAAGAGGGAAGACCTACTTACCTTATGCTCTGACTACCGAAAAAACTTCGCCTAGCCGAAAATCCTTGTCCAGTCGACGTATTATAGTAGATAACCGTACCTATATAACTTCACCACCGTATAGGTCTCATCGAAAGACCCCTTGACGAACAATGACAAATTTATATACACTTGAGGTAACATAAATTCCCCAAAAACTTCAAATGAAATTTTATCAGCTTTGTTTCATTGGTTGTAGAATACCGACTTCATAGGTGTTACGATCCTCAGATGTATGGCTGATGGGTGTAGAGCAGTGGCGGATTTTGTTAATATGAGGCAACTGGCGCAAAATTGTTTTGAGGCCCCTTCTCCTACTTAATGAAAATTCGTAGTAGGTTTCGCACTGAGATCTAAATCAAACAGATCTTGAGGCCCCGCAAGGTCTTGAGATACAAGACGAGTGCCTCTAACGCCTGTGCGAAAAATCGCCTCTGGTTTGGAGGCCGAAGCAAAAATACTTGTTTGTTAAGCATGCCCACAGGTACCCTAAGAAGATAGAGTTCCCAATCCAGAGACTTCTTTTACTCCCCCAGACAGGGTGCTTTCACGAATTGGAAAGAAAATTATAGAAATATATCGTTGAGCCAAATCAGCATGAATAAAGTCTTTCAGAAAGTGGGAGAGATTATCTCGATTATGATTGGAAGAAAATCAGCAGCCTTTTCATAAAATAACCTGCAAGATGGCATTTCAAATTCATCCCGACAAAGCATTTTTGTAACGAAACAAAATAATAAAATATTAGTGAAAGAAAGGCTCTTTCATAGATCTGAGGCAGATGAGAGAAAATCAGTTGTGAAGAGAGGGGAAAATATCATGACCAGTAAACTTAGAGTCGTGACTCCAGGATTAATCGTGAACGCTCTAAAAT